GGGTAGGAAACGGTTGTGCGTTCTCTTCTGACATTCCTCTGGGATCTGTGTAGATATAGGTAATACACATGGGCCTTGATATTTACAGCTATATTACACCCGATTTACATATTCACAAACTTTATTTGACGGAATGTGCCGCTCTGTTAAACCTGTTACCCTTTATTTCAAACCTCGCTCATATGTCACTACTCTCATCGCTACTCTACCCGGTTGTTGCTATTGGCTGGCGTTATTTCGTTAGCTGACTCTGCGCAACGTCGATCAGAGCCTCCAGCGGTACGAAGCTCCAACATCGACCCTCTTGTGACCAGCGAACCGACAACCGTCATCAGCTGCCGCTGCACTCGTCTTGATCCCCTCCCTACTTTTCCTGCGGCTTTTAAACTATTTTCTGATGCCTAAGTGGTTTCGTTTCCGCGTCGTTGTAACTAAGACACTTCGACAGATAGTACCGTACTTAAATGTTAGGGGTCTCAACTAGTCTGTAGAGGCGTTTGCCAAGTGCACCGCGTGGCTTTGAATGCAACGAGGATTTTAAAATAAAATTAAATTAAATTAAAATAATAAGCATAACGGAGACATAAGATAACATTTCAGAAACATAATGAATATACAATTCAGTTTGTATAATATTCTATCAAAATCGGCACTGCAATTTGGAAGCTAAACTTGGATTTTAGGAAAGGAAGTATAGAGAGACGATCAAAAGTTTCCCATAACAGATTTCGCAGACCCTTAATGGGAGTTACCCAAGGGGTAGATTATCAATCGAGGAAATAAGGAACCGAATGAAGACCACGAAAACTGTAAATGACATACAAAATTATCCATTAAATTGGAAAAAATATGTTGAGAGGACGGATAAAACAGATTCCCTAAAAAGCTGTTTGTATATAAACCGACAGAGAGTAACAAGGGATATAGGAAAACCAAGAAATCGATGGAAGGACCAATATTCTGAACTCGGAACGGGCTTGAAAACTAATGTTACGGAAGACGAATAATACTAAATGTACAGTAACTGATAATATCATATATCCGTAATTGAGCATAACAATAAACTTACATTTGAAACATGGAAACAGAAATTAAAGACAATGGTAGTAGCAGTTGGTGTTGGTGTTGGTCTTACAGCAGTGGCTGTGAAGACACATACACCCTCCTCGCCATAAATAAATTCGTAAGGACTCCGTTTGTCAACACTGTGCCGGGAACAGTAAATATTTACGTCTGTGTACGCGAGGTTCAATGTCGCTGAATTCTTACACAAGACGTGTCGATTGTAGTTATTGGTCTTTGTTGGAAAAACGATTACAAGCAGTTCCCACCAAAACTGATAGATTTGTAAGATTTAAGGTTTTCACAGCTGTGAGTATGAAGATTTCTGTCTTCTGGATTGTTGCGCTGTGCAGTCTGGTAGATGTTTACCAACATTCATCGCCCTGATGACGGAGGCAGTATGACCTCTGAAACTTTGGTTAATATCGACCAGACTACACAGCGCAACAACCCAGAAGACAGAAATCTTCACTGACAGATTTGTTACAATAAAACGTGGCAGTTTAAAATTGCTTAAAATACGTCTACTCTTATAAGCTGAAGTTCTCTGCTCTAATTTCAGTGCATCGCGAGCAACAGAAGGCTAAGAACCACTGCGTTAAGACATCGCACTACCAATCTTCTTGATCTCAGATCTTTCCTATTCAGAGCAATTTATTAATTATTTGATATTTGTTTTCAAGGTTTCTAATTTAAAATTATATAGAAAGAAATGTATGACTTTTTTAATTATAAAGGTAACTTTCAAGACACATTTGAATGGATATCAATTCAAGAGGAAAGTATAATAAAAATAGACTGTCGGAGAACCTTTATTAAAGAACTTGTTTCTCAACTACTAACGGGGAGAGATCGCTTAAACTCTGTAGCTTTTAAAAAGAATGCAAAGTTTGAACTTATACGTTACTGGATTTATATTAAGCCTATACGTAGGTGTTCTACGGAGTTACCTTCGAAAAGGATTCCAGGCAATATTTTACGGTTAGTCACACTTACTACCCGTCCTCCGTGCAGAATTAACGTCTCAAAGCTATTATTACCTTCAACATGTACTGAGGACGAAGAAAGTCCAGAGAGCGGTTGAAGGCAGACGAATGTAGATGCTAATATCCGCTTTAATACGTTATGTTAACCTGGAAGTTATCAAAGTAAACCCACATGAACAGCAGGGAAGCCTACTTCAAGTATAATCTCTTTTTTTATAATACGATTTCAGGACATGAACAGAATTAATAATTACTATCGATAAATAAACTAAACACTAATTATATTAACTAACTAAATACGGCTTTGGGTGTGAAATGGATGCATTTGGCCCAGAACAGGGACTGATTGTGAGCTTGTCAACACGATAATAAACATTCGAGGTTCATAAAATAGGGGAAATTTCTTGGTTAGTTGAGAATACTTTTAGCTTCTTAAAAATAATTATGAAGACAGAAATCAGTTAACCAAATAACTACAAAAATAACTGACAAAACAGACAAGCGTAATCAACCAACTTCAGTCAAGTAAGTTAACAGAGTAGGTATTTTAACTAAACGTAGACTAGCTAAACTAAACAACTGTACGTGGTAAAGAAAATTCGACGCTCAGCCAAGAAAATTCATGGTGTAACGAAACACGTAAATTTATTACTCACAGAAGTTCGCCGTTGGTACCCACACTGAACTACGCTCTGATTAGTAATGTCCTGTCCAGTTCGCAAGGAACGCGTGTCCGAATACCCTGTGGACAACACACAACAACACTCCACGAATTTATTTTAAAACCCATGGGTTTAAGTTCCGAAGCTGTACACAAATACGGATGTAAATTAACGTCGGATACTGTATGAGCCTGGCTGTGAACCACAAAACGACAGGGATGGGTGCGTTGCCTTTGTTTACTTCACGACATTTTGAAATTTATCTGTAAGGGCTGATTACTACTCAGGTAAGCTTTGTGATAAGATCCAGCACCTGCATAATATAATTCTGAATTCGAAAAGTTGTGAGTCCTTGACAAGACCTGGAACAAACTGAAACAAGACAGTTCCTTTAGCGTCTGTGCATGACGCAAGGATTTGGTAGTCCAAGAACCTTCACAAGACTAGTAGCAACACGCTAACTAGCGAAGCACCGACCTCACTGCGCTTTATTAGCATACATAGCGTGGTTCCGTGCGAGTCTATCGCGTTCCTTGCTTTGTGAATTATGCCAGAAGATGGCACCCTCGCATTACGTGATTGGAATGCTTATCCCCACATCCAGTGAGATAAATTTATCGTAAATTTCACCAAATCGACTAGGCTCAATTCATACGTTCAACTTTCCTTTATGCGGCACACCTTATTTTGTCAGACTCTGAGATTTCTCTTTTCAACTTCGTTTCTGTGTAATGCAATCAGATACAACATGGCGACAGTGCGCATCTGTGAACGCAAGGAAAGTTGTAAGTTTGCTGCTTCGTGCCTAAGATAGAAGACGTAAATGCAAACCCTAATAAAATTAATCCAAATCTCCTATGAAATATCTAACAGACACTTTTTTCTCAGGTGGCTGATGAGAACTGACGTAGGTCTAAAACATGTTTTACCGAACATCGTGATGGAGCTGTTAGCTCTCCTACTTCGTATTCGGAAGTTCCCGGGTTCAGATCTCGGGCCGTAGACCGGCTATCCTGACTGAGGTTTTTCATGGTTTTCCTCACTCTCTCCAGGTAAATACCGGGATAGTAACTCAAATTAGGTCACGACCGCTTCCTTCCATATCCTTTTCAATTCGTTGCTTGCTGACATCCTCTCATCCGACGTTATACAGTCCAGACACTGAAAGGTCGTTAAATAAACTATAAAAATTAAATAAATAAAAAACATATTTAGTCAATTTCTCTGCGCACCTGAACACCAAGGTGTAACCATCATATCAAATAAACCCGGTCTTAAATGGTGTGTTGTCCCATAATAACTTGTGTTTGTAAACGAACTCAGTTCAAATAAACAGATATCACACGGACACATTAATAAGTAACAGGAAGATGAAGAAGTCCCATCTGGTGGCCAACAGCAGCACATCCATCATCAGTGTTACGATCTTCTGAGGCTCTGCTCGACATTCACGTACAAACTATCAAACACGACCGAAATATCTGTTATTTAGTCATTGCTCGATGTCAGAGCCTCGTGAATTCAAACGTGGTAACACGAGAAG